TTGGGACCAACAAGTTTGTTTTCTTTGAGAATTACGGACAACGGATTAAAAGACATATTGAATTCCTGGGATCATGCAAACATAGTCTTTACTCAGTCAAGTAGTTTTGAATTTATACATCAAATATTGATCCCATTAAACAACATTTGAATAAATTCACTAACACCTCAAAACACCGAATCCCCGCAGGCCACGGAGTGTGGACGTCTACGGTTCAAACATTCACAAGAGGAGGGATAAATCCCATTAGCTTGACATATTGCCCAACAATACTCAACTAATAGTCGGTTTCATCTTTTGGCCAGCGCAATTAACTTTTAAAAGAATAATCTTTATAAAAGAATAAAAATGACCTTGTCTTTGGGGACTATCGTAATTATTTGCACTTTAAGCGTAACCCATTAATTGGTACTAAGTTTACTACCAAAATTATACGTCCACCTTTGGGTTACCCGTACGCTTTTGAAATAGCTCACTATAACCATCCCAAAGGAGATTCGTCCTTGTGAACCGTGAAATAAAACTTTCTTTGGTCTCGAATTAAATCACTTCACTGACAAACCTATAATGGTGGCCTTGGATGTAATTTATTTCAACCCATTACACCCTTAATATAATTTTTATTTTATGAGATTTTCTTAACATGTTTGTATTTGCACATAAGCAATCACGTAAAACATGCATGATTAATGAGCAATAATAAACTAGGAACTATAATCCAACTATTATGGCCATTAATCAATCTCCAATGTTACGGAGAAACCACAGTCCTGTCCTTGTTGAGTGTGCCCTCCGTTTCGGGTATTGAAACTCCCTCTTTCGCAGTGACTCCTGTTTGTCCCATTTTTGTGTCTTTATTTTGGGTTTATTTTTTCTTTATTTTCCCCACTAATAGGATTTTCGTAGTTTATTTGGTCCAATTCTGTGATTTTTCCATTTTTCTCTTTAGTTCGTTTTGTGCGTCTTTTTTGTTGTGTTCTGCTTCGTGTTTTCTTCATGTTTGTGTTTTCAGGAGGTAGGTTGTGTGGATCGAGGACGGGACTACTTGAGCTTAGGCCGGGATATCAAGAATACCCATAGACGGGCCCAGAATTCTGAAGGAAGGACCGAAAAAACGGACTGAAGAGCTGCCCAGGACTTCTCGCGACTCGCGAGACAGTATCGCGACTCGCGAGATGGTCGCGACTCGCGAGAATGTCGCGACTCGCGAGTCCAACAGAGACGAAAAGGAGCTGTTCGCGAGGAGAGCCGCGACTCGCGAGCCAATATCGCGACTCGCGAGGTGATGTCGCGACTCGCGATCCAGGTCGCGACTTTCCCCAGAAAATAAACATTTATCGAAGATGCGCGACTCGCGAGATGTCGCGACTCGCGACTCGGCAAAGCTGGATGTCGCGACTCGCGACTTATGTCGCGACTCGTGACCTGATCGGCGCGATTTTCGAGGACGGGATTTTAAGTTCAGAATTTCGACCTAGACATCATTATTCACGTTCCAGACTTCGTTTTTTTACTTTTTCTCTCTAGAAACTCATTCCTTTTCATGCTTTTGCTATTTTGGA